CTAAAAATACTCAACGTCAGAGTTGAGAGCTCCCCGGATTAACTGTATCGAAGACGCCTACGGCGAATCACCACCGCCGCTCTGCCCTTTTGGAAACGCCTATGTGGCCGGACGTTGGGCTAGAGCTTGGCGAGGCTGTCGAACCATGTGTTCCCCGAGTCGTCTTGGAAGGCCTGCGGGGAACACGTGGGGGGAGGTGAACACGAAGATAACTTCGATTTGGTGTCACTCGCCGATCTTAGGGCCTTTCCTGCGCAGTCTTGGGCCATCTTGGGCTCTATTGGGAATTCTTGGCGGTCTGGGAGGCATACTGTGACCGCCTGGGAAGCCGTATTAGGGCTCCCTCGGGCTTTTTTGGATACATCTTGGCCGTGTTGGACGCATATCTGAAAGGCTGCCGCCTCTGCCGCCGACCCCGAATGAGGCTTTGTGTTTTCTTAGTTTTCAGGGTCGCTGCGCTCTCCGCCACCGCGGTCGGCATCGAGGGCACAGCGCTCGCCTCGAGACTCCGCACAACTCTAGGCTCAGAGATGCCGCGTGCGAGATGCCCCGGGCCGTTTCGTCTGAGACATCTCGGCAAAGATGTCGCGCACAAGGTTGTCCAGCCAATTTCGTCTGAGGCATCCTCACGACTCTAGGCTCAAAGATGCCGTGTGCGAGATGCTCCAGGCCGTTTTGTCTGAGACATCGTGGCACGCCTCTGGCCCGTTGGGCCGGCGAATTTCGCCCCCCCCCTCCCCCCCTCCCCCGGGGCCCGAAAAGTCTCCTCTTGGGGCTCTCTTGGGCTGCGCTTGGGGCGCTCCTGGGCGCTCTTGGGCTTGTATTGGGCCTCTCTTGGGCCCCTCTTGGGGCTCTCTGGGGCAATTTGGGGGCCATTTTGAGGCTTCAAGAGCCCATTGGAAGTGAAAAGGCGAGGTGGCAAACAAACATTCATTTTCTTTAGGTTTGTTTGGAAGATTCTGGCCTCTCGGGGGCGTCCTTGGGAGGCTCCGTGGCTTCTTGGGGCCGTCTTGGGGCGGTTTTTTGGAGCCTCTTGTAGGCTTGCTGGGAGCTATCTTCAGGCATCGAGGGCTATCTTGAACGATCTTGGAGGCCATCTTGAGCTTTCTTGCGGCATATTGGCGCCATATCCGCGAAACCCCTCCTCCAGCCCCAGGGGGAGGGGGTATGGGGGAGGGGTAAACCCCTCCCCGAAGGGGAAAAAGGGGATTGAGCAGAGCGGGCTCCCTAAACCACCTCCGCCCAGAGGGCTGGTGGGATTAGACCTCGCCATCCCTGGTGTACGGCTTCCTACAGAAAAGCGAGTTTGACATCATGGGGCCTTCTTGGTCAGCATGTGTTTTTTGAAAGGACCCCAAAAAACACTTCCCACGGCTGCCACAGAGATGCCCTGGGAGGCCCCAAGAGGCTCCGACAGGCCCCCAATACTGGCCCAGGGGGCTCGAAGAGGGCCCCAAGACGGATCCAAGACGGCTCAGGAAAGCTGGCCAGCACGTGTTTTTTGAGAGGGCCCCCCAAAAACACTTCCCACGGCTGCCCAAGAGATGCCCTGGGAGGCCCCAGGAGGGTCCAAAAGGGCCCCAAGACTGGCCAAGGGGGCTCCGAGAGGGCCCCAGGACGGTTCCAAGACGGCCCAAGAAAGCTGGCCAGCACCCCTAAGAGGGCCCGAGCGGCCACCGGATTCATTTCGGCTCGAACCAAGTTTTCGCCACATGCATGTGTATTTTCGTTCAGGCCTCCATTCGTTTTGGCCATTTACATGCTTGCGAAAACAACGATCCCACCATCACGTGCATCTTCCTACGTTGCTCACAGGGAGTGCTTCACAACAGTTCAACGCCTGTTTGAAAATGGTAACGTGGCGAGGGCACTGCGCATGATGGTTGAGCCCGCGGGTACGATTTCGGGTCGTGGTCTGACCGGGACTAATTCGAGCTCCCGTGGAAGACAAATCGACATTGAGCAAATCCAGGGATATTTTTTGGCTCAATACATGCTCGTGCGGGAGGCAAAAGACTTGTGTGGTGATATCTATGTGCCAGCGTCTCAAATCCAAGTTGAGTTGCATGATGATTGCCATGACGAGTTTTTAGCGGCTGCCTTGCGCTTTCGTACAGCAGACGTTGGCAAGTTAGACTTGGACATGAGCCACACCGCGGAGACTCAGACACTCCACCCTTGCCATGAGGAGATCCAGCGGCGTCGGTGGACTTCTGTTTGGCAGATTTATCCAGTTGCGCTGCCGCGCGATTCCGCCACCGCGCTCGGGCGGGCGCCTGGGGGTGGGGGGGCGCCGGGGGGGTGGGGTCCACGGAGCCCGGCTACCACAAGCGTCGTGTTTGGGCCCATATTCTGCCTGGAAGGCCAAAAACGCAGGGACTCGGTCTTAAAAATGAGCGCCTCTTGGGCTCGATGCGTCGGGGGGCCTTAATTATTGCTTCGCAGGGAGCGAAAGGGCCCGACACGCACACACACCTACCGCTGAGCGCGGTGGCTGATTATTTAGCGCAATGGCACCCTGTCTTAGATTCTCCAGAACCTCAATGTGGATTCTCTTTGTGGCAGATGGGGGCCGTCACGCGGTTGCGAGGGGCGTTTTTGGCTGGCAGAATGAGGAATGGAACGATCGTGCAATTTTGTCGCAACCACTCGAATGCTTTAGACGGCCTTTCGCATCTTCAGTCGTTCGTGCAGGCATTCCAGCCCGTACTCGGTGTGATCACCGCAGAGGTCAGTCTCTTGAAACCATCTGAGAAAGAAGTGTTTTTGCAGCTCCTAGTCATCCCATTCAGTCAGAAACACTGGAGCTCTTTCGAGGCGCGTTTCTTGAGATCGTGTAATGCGGTTGAAAAGATTGGCGTCGCAAGTAATCGTATCTCTTCAAATGATATCATAGAGTGGCTAAGCGCGTGCCACTTGGTTGACGAGTACGGCACAAACAAACATTCTGCATTTCCCCAGCAGGTACGCGACTCCAGTCACCAAGCAGGTCCTAGATGTGGAGGGTATCGCGGCCAATTGTGCGGACAACTGGAAAGCCGACAATAAGTGCAAAAGCGTTGCCTTGATGTCATCAAGCGCAGCCCAGTTCTCGGATCTTGACAGATGGGGCACGGCTGTCACAGTAAGGAAGCGCCAGGCGCTCGGCCGTATAGCTGGCCATTGCCGCGCGGCGCTCGACCGAGTGAAAGGTTGGCGCGTGCGTGGCCAGTTCCATCCTTTCACAGACAGTCATAGGACTAAGTTCAAGACGTGGTGCGCTAATTATCCAGCTGAACGCATGCAAAGCTACGCAGCTCCTGAAATGGCTGTGCATGCGCCGGGTCAAAAACCCCCGGCTGCTGCGCCGCGCAGTGCGGATGGCCGCCGCGGGCGGGCCAACGTGGGGCGGCGTGCATTGCGCGTGGAGACGCCCTGAGAAGAGAAATGGGCTTCTCAGTTGAATTATATTCGACATCCAGAGGCGCTGCCTTGCGATTCCATGTATTTCGCATGAGGGTGCATATTCTGGTTCGAAGGCATAAGAGAGAGGGGCCGCCGAGAGGGCCCCAAGACGGCCCAGGACGGCTTGCCAGCAAGTGTTTTTTGAGAGGGCTCCCCAAAAACGCTTCCCACGGTTGCCCAGGATATGCCCCGATAGGTCCCAACAGGCTCCCGGAAGGCCCCAAGATTGGCCCAGGGGGTTCCGAGAGGGCCCCAAGACGGCCCCCACAACGGCCCAAAACAGCTGGCCAGCAAGTGTCTTTTTGAGAAGGTCCCCAAAGTGTCTTTTGAGAAGGTCCCCAACGACGCTTCGCGCGGTTGCCCGCGAAGTGCCTGGGGGGGCTCCGAGAGGCATTACTAGGGCCCCAGGATTGGCTCCAGGGGCTTCGAGCGGGCCCCAAGACGGCTCAGGAAAGCTGGCCAGCAGTTTTTTTGGTTATATATATATATATATATATGCATATGGTTGTTTGTTTGTTTGTTTGTTTGTTTGTTTGTTTGTTTGTTTGTTTGTTTGTTTGTTTGTTTGTTTGTTTGTTTTTGTTTTGTGGAGGTGCTCCGAGAGACCCTAAGGGGCTCCAAAAGGGCCCCCATCCTGCCCAATGGGGGCTCTGAGAGGGCCCCAATGCGGCCCCAGGACGGCCCAGGAAAGCTGGCCAGCAAGTGTCTTTTGAAAGGGGCCCCCAAAAACGCTTCCCACGGTTGCCCAAGAGATGCCTGAAGAGGTCCAGAGGGGGCCCAAAAGTGGCCCCGAAGTGCCTCCGATGGGGGGCAGCCCTGCTCCATTGCCCTGCTCCATTGCCCCCTTGCTGAGGAAAAAGGGGCGACTGAAAAAGGGAATCCGCTAGGCCGCCCGCCCATGGGGCCCCATTCCTCAGCCGCTTCGCCATGCCAAGATTTGCTCGTACTTGCCACTTTCACGCCAACTGTCTGCGCGACCGGACGTTCGCCCATGGCGTGGCTTACTTCGACATGTTCGATTTGGTTGGCGCTGTCTGCCTCGGCCGCCCCGCCAGCCGCGGGGGCGCGCATGCGCCGGCGGCCGACCGCCCCAGGAGAGCGCTTGCAGATGCGGATTGTTGCCGATGCAGAGGCCGCCGCTGCGGCCGCGGAGGTGGGGTTCATTGCTGAGCCGCAGCCGCTCCACATCCAACTCCCCGGGGAGGGCCCGTGCCTTTCGGCGCAATCCCCCGCGGCGCCGCGCAGGCAGGATGACGGCCCCATCGCACCTGTCGGCGAGGTCGCGCCCCAACAGAGCCCCAGCAGGGGCCAGAAACGCAGGCCGTTAACCGAGATTGGACGGATTGATTTCACAGGCTGGGCGAGGGTTTGAAACGGACCCGCCCTGGGGAAATGAGGGGGTTGCCCGCGGTGCTGCCAGAGCTGCGAGCAGACGTTGGACGGGGCAGTTCGACGCCGTCGCTTGCGCAAGATTTCCTATTTTGGCTTCTTGCAAAACAGTCCGCGGGCTCGCCGCCCCCCCCCCGAGCAGCGTCTTTGGTGAAAACCGCCCCCAGGTGAGACCGTGCGGGAATCCGCGACCACGTGCGTCGAGAACATGCACGTGCAGACATTCCGCTCGTCGACGACGAACGGGGCCAAGAGCCTCGTGGCGCCTTGTTGGCGATGCTTGAAGTGCTCGAAAGCGTGGTCCCTCTCCGAGCCTGAGCCGGGCAAAATGCCCATCGAAGTCACAGGTGAATGTTCGGGCGAGAAGGATTCGAAACGCATCCGGCTGTGCAGCGCCAAGAAGTACGTCAAGGACTCGTACGCCAAGGCGCTGATAGCCATGGCGGCAGACGGGGTGCCCCAGGACGAAAGGCCCTCCGAGCAGCAGATCAAAAGCCAGCGGCGCCAGGCCCAAAACGAGAGTGAGGCGAAGGAGGCGAAGTACACGGCCGAGTGCATCGGGAGTGTAAACGAATTCTTGGGCGAGCCTCCCGAAGGCGTCTTCATATTCGCTGACCACAGGATCGTTTCGCCGGACAAGGTGCGCGCGCCCTTCACGGTGGCAGGCGTGGAACAGCTTTTCGGCGCCCTCAAGCTGGAGAGTTTTCTTATGGATTTTACATTCTGCACGAACAAAGAGAGATTGGTCCTCGGAGCCAATAGCCCCGTGGGCCTCCACGTCAAGGATTTGTTTTCTTTGCCGCAGATGCGGTTTGTGCCAGTCATATTCATCGTCGCCGACCGGGAGGGCGAGGGCGCCCAGCGCCTCCTCGTGCGCCTCTACTTCGAGATGGCCGCCAATCACGGCATCGCCATCACCGACGGATTCCTCGACTGTGCTTGCTTCAAGGGCGCCTGCGCCGAGGTTGGCGACCGCGTCTACCTTCGCAGATGCCTTCATCACACGAGAACTGACATCGGGACGAGGTCGCAGGCCGCGGGCGCCTCCAAGACCCGGAACGCCTTCAAGAAATCATCGATTGGGTGGACTTCTCCGCGTGGGCCCCCGACGATTTGGAGTTCCACGTCTTCTGGAGCAGCATCCTGTCGCGCATGGAGTCCGCAGAGGGGGGCCACAATTGGGGGGGGGCCAGCGATGGCGAGGTACTTGCGCAAACATATTTTGGACGCGGAAGGTCCGTCGATCCGCGCCACCTGGGCCTCTGGCCTGGGCGCGGTGCCGCCGGGCTTCACCACGTACGCTCCCGATGCGATCCAGTTGCCTGTGGCGCGTCCCCGCGCGCCCCCCGCCCTTCCGCCGTGCCAGCGCAGCGCCGCGGCATCGGGGGGGTCGCCCTTCGACTGGCCCTGCAGCGGGGGGGGGGCCCTCCGAGAGTGTCGTTACCTGCCGCGCAACTAACGCGGGCCCTACCGCGCATCTAACAGGCATTCCAATGTTCAGCAGGGGCGCACGCTGCGCGGCAGATCGAGCGCACCTGGCGGTTGCTCAAAGGTTTGCTGCCGGCGAACTACAAGCAGGGGAGCGTGGCGCAGCTGATTGCGGACGTTGCGAAGGCCCTGCAGGCCCGCGTCCAAGGCGTGGCATGCCATTCTCTTGTGGGACGGTTGGCAAAGGCGCCTGGTGCACTGAAGAATTGGCCGAAGAAGAAGGCAGTCGGCGCGGCGGAAGGCCGGTCTTCTGTGGAGACACAGAGTCAGGGCAATTCCGCCCGCCTCGACTTGAACGCCATCCTCGCCCACTACAGGGGGAAACCGGCCACGCACGCGTATCGGGTTCGACCGTGTTCGAAGCTCCTGTCCACCAGGGACACCGCGCGGGCGGTCTACGTGATGCCCAAGTACCAGCTGGCGTACGCAACGCAGAAGACGGCCGATATGCAATCGGCGTTGCCCTTATCCCTGGCGACATCTGCGGCCGAGATCCACGCTGCATGCGCCAGTGAGGAGACGTCATCATACGACATCATGAGACACATGTGGTTGCGCCACCATTTTACGACGATCTACGTCGCAACCAGCGGCGCGGCGGTGGACTGCCACGAGCGCAGCGTGGAGGGCGGGGGGTTCTCTGAACACCAGGTTTTCATCCAAGGGCTCCAGAGGCGGGACTGGCTGGCCCGCATGGCCCGCGGGCCCAAGTGGCGCGGCGGCAAGGCCAAGCAGCAGCGGTCGGAGGCTCTGAAGACGAAGCTCCAGGCGCCCCCTCCGCTGGCTGGGCCCGGTGGGCCAGTCGACCAGGCGATCCGCGCTGCCCTCCCCGATGTCGTTTTCCAAGAGCCAGCCGCTTTGCCCGGCGCGCCTGCGGAGCCTGGCCTTGCGGCGCACATGCGCTGCGTCGTGGCCAGCGACGGTGGAAATGGAGCCTTTGGAGCACGATGCCTTTGGAGCACGAAGAGCGGGGCCCAATGTCGCCGCCAGAGGCGGAAGGGGAACTTTTGCGGCCGGCATTTCACAGAGGCGCAGGGCGAGAAGGCCAAGGGGGATATGTTTGCGTGGTCGAAGTTCGCTCTCGATCAAACTGCGAGGGCAGAGAGGAAACGCAGGGCGGCCGCCGCGCGGGAGTCCGACGGGGTCGCCGCGCGGGAAGCCGACGAGGTCGCCAAGGCACAAGCCTTATCGGTCGCGGAAATGGACGAGGCTGCGAAGCATCGGCAGATGCTGGAGAATCGAGTCGACCCTCGCCTGCAAGCGCTTGGTCTCCAACTCGTGCCCGTTGACGGGGGCGGTAACTGCCAGTTCGCTGCGATAATGCACGCGGCGGGGCTCGATGTGTCCGCCTTGGAGCTACGTCCGCAGATCGCCAACGCAATGGAAGATTTCCCGGGCATTTTTGAAGGCTTCCACGAGTTCGACAACTACCAGTCATACTTGGACTACATGCGCGTCCCCGGGACTGCTTGGGGCGACCACCTTACGCTCTCAGCGGCGGCCTTCTTGTTGACGCGGCCGATCCGGATCGTCAGCGACGCCGCCAACGACGCGTACTCGACGTGCACGATCGAGCCCCCGCCCATCTTACCTGAGGGTGTGTGGTAGGATCCGATTACATTGGTTCTGCTCGCTTCGCGGGGTGCAAGTCCCGAGCACGTGCAAGCAAAAGGCCCCCGACAGGCCCTGTCGGGCCCGTCGGGGGCGTCTTGGGCCGTCCTGGGGCGCTTGCGCTGCGTTGCCCTTCGGAGGCTGGCTTGGGGGCCTCTCCTGGTCGCCTTCGGGCTCTCCTGGGGTCCTCTCGGGCCGTCTCGGGGGCCTCTTCGACCGCTGTCTGAGCCTCTATGGGCCATCTTCTAGCCGCGCCTCGTCGCCTGGTGCTGGGAAGCGACGGCGGATCCACTTCGGGGAGGTCCATTATGAATCGACGGCCCCGCTCCCTGCTCCCTGCTCAGCAGCAGGAGGTACTCCCAGCGGCGGGACCTCCGGTGAGCCCGCAGCCTCGCGAGCCCGCTCTATTCAGCTGCTGGGGGAGGACCGAGTCGCGGAGGCCCTGGTGGAAGTGCAGGATGCGGAGATGCAGAGGGGGCTGGAGCTCGAGCGGCTGGCCCTGGAAGCCCGCGCGTCCTTCGGGGCCGGGGTGGCGGCCCAGGAACGGGCCGAAGAGCAGGTGAACCTGCGACCCGCCAAGAAAGCGCGGGCCCCTGCGACTGCTGTCGTGCTAGACGATGACCAGGGCGACGACGTGGGGCAGCAAGGGTGGGCGCCGATGGACGAGCACAGCGACCTTGTCCTGGGCGGCGAGGGCCTCGCCAGTGCTGGCGCCGAGGGCCGGGGCGGCGGGCCTGACGGGGCCGACCGCCAGGGCGAAGCTTGACGAGCATGCGATCGCCCGCGCCAGGCGGGCACGCAGTTTACGTGCAGTTTGTGATTTCGGTCGACGCAGTTCCAGTGCGTTCAAAATCATCATCATCACCTCCATCGGTGAACGGCAAACAAATGGTTGCTTACCATTTTTCTTGTTCTCGGGACCCTCTTGGGGCCATGCAAAGGGGCCCTCGTGAGACCATCTTGGAGGCCCGAGGCCCCAGGGGCGCTCCTCCCAGGACGTCCTTTTGGGCTCCCAGAGGGCCCCAAGAGGGCGCCAAAACCACCCGAAACGGTAAACATTTCGTTGTTTGCACTTTTTCTTCTTCTCGGGCCCCTCTGGGGGCCGCGGTGGAGGAGGGTGGGCGAGTGCGCACCGCGGCCCGGGCTCAATAGGCGCCCTTCTCCAGGGACCGGTAGCCGCATATGGGCATCCAAGAGGGTGCCATCGTCGTCGTCGAAGTCGTCGTCGCCGCCGAGGCCGCCGCCGCCGCCCGAGTGCGAACATTGCCCGTGCGGATCCAATCCCCGCCTGGGCTACTTGGCATCAGGCATCCAACGCATTCTGACCCCCCCAGTGTATCAAAAATCTGCCCTGCATTGGGGTGGGGTTCGCACCGTTGCCCAGCTTCCTCGCGCGCGCGCGCCCCGACAGGGAGAGGGAACGAGGGGGGAAGTGGAGGGCGAGGGGTGGTGGGGGGGGAGGCGCGGGGGAGGCGCAGCAGAGGGGGAGGGAGGGGGGGAGGGAAGGGGAGGGCCGACGCCGTGGCCGTGGCCTTCATTATTCAAGTGGCTTGCGCCATTCCGCCGACCCCCAGATGGATTGAGAGCTTGCGACGATCGTGGAAGCTATCTAGTGGGTCAGGAGTCCCGTGGATGTGTATGAGGGGCTCTTGGGATGCTTTCCAGGGGCATCCTGGAGGGCTTATATTGTGGCATCTGGGGTGCTTTTTGGAGCTTCTTGGGGGCCTCTTGGGGGCCTCTTGGGGGCCCCTTGGAGGCCTGTGGGGGCCTCTTGGGGACACCTCGGGGGCCTCTAGAGGGCTCTTGGGGCCATCTTGGGGCGAAGGGCTCGAACTGTCAGCTCGTGTTCGCCCTCTTGGGCGTCTCTTGGGGTGCACGAGCGTCTCTCTTGGGCCGTCTTGGGCGCCCCTGGGTCCGTTTTGGGGCCCGCTTGAGCCGTCTTGGGGCTCTCCTGGGGGCCTCATGGCCCGTCTGGGGGCGGTCCTGGGTGCACTTTTAGCCGTCTTGGACGCTGCCAAGGCGAAAAAGGCGAGTATGCTAAAAATGTACGTTTTCCGAAAGGGAGTGGGGCAATTTTTGCTTCTTGGGCTTTTCTCGGCGGTTCTGTGGAAGCTGTCTAGGACAGTCTTGAGGACCTCGTGGGTCGTCTCGAAGCCATTTTGGATCGTCGGGGGGCTACCCTGGGCCGTCTGGGCGCTCTTTTGGACTGTCTTGGCGCTCTCCTTGGACCTTCCTGGGCCATCTTGGGGCTCTTTGGAGGCTCCGGTGTTCCCGGGGGTGTGTTGAGGAGCCCGGCCCCCCCCCCCCCGTTCTAATCGGATTTTGGACCCTGGGGGGAGGGGGAGGGGGAGGGGGGCAGCCAAATGTTTCCCACGCGTTTGCATCCCTGGCAAGCGGGGGTCGACAGATTTTCGCTCCGCGGGGTTGTTGCCTTGAAGCATGCCTCGAGCACCTTGGGGGCCCCCCTAGGCCACCTTCGGGCGCGCAAAGATGATCGCGTTTCGCGCGTCGCGGCGCGACGACGACGACGACGACGACGACGACGACGACGACGACGACGACGACGACGACGACGAGAGCTGCCTTTCTCCGGGGGCGGCGCGAGGGCGGAAGGATGGCCGTGCATCGCGGGGCGCGAGGCGCGAAGTTAGGCAACCTAGGCTATCTTGGAGGGTGGTGCCGTGGCTTGTTGCGGAGAGCTGCGAGCCAAGGAGGGAGAGCCCCGACTCGAACATGCGGGTCGTCCTGTCCGTTGCTCTGCTCCGGCACGCCGTTCCCTACGCGCCTCTTCTCGGCCTTTTTCGCCCTGCCTCGTCGGCCCCTCCCTGGAGACACAGGGGCAAAAATGGGGGGGGGACTTCTCCTCGCCTTTGTCCTCAGCCTCCTCCTCATCCTCCTCCTCCTTCTCGCCCTCCTCCTCGCCCTCCTCGTTTTCCTCCTCGCCCTCCTCCTTCCTCGTTGGCCCCCTCCTCCTCCCTCGTTGGCCCCCTCCTCGACGACGAAGACGACGACGACGAACACGGCGACGATGACGACGCCTATTCCGCCACCGTGCCTGTGTTTTGTACGTCAGACGCCTCTGGGGTCTCCGTAGGGATCTCGCGGAACGCCTCTCGGGAGCCTCGCCTCTTGAGGGCCATTTTCGGGCTTCTGGGGGTCTTTCTGGGGCCTCTTGGGGGCCCCTTGGGGCGTCCTCGGAGCCTCTTGGAGGCCTCCTGGGATCTTGGGCCCCTTTTGGGGCCTCCTCTTGTAGCCCCCTCCGGTCTCACAAATTATACTTCTCGGAACGCTGTCTGGGCAGGTTGGCTGCAAGTTTGCCAATTTACTACTACTACTACTACTACTACTACTACTACTACTACTACTACTACTACTACTATTACTACTACTACTACTACTAATACTACTACTACTACTACGACTACTACTACTACTACTACTACGACTACTACTACTATTACTACTACTAGTACTA